GTTCTACTTATGAATACTTAGTTCCTCTGGTCATGTTCTGTTGTTAAATGCTAGAAACTTAAAGAAAAAGGCCATACAAATAGCAAAGGTCATTTTGTTTTACCAAATGTTTCACTTCACTCTGTTCAATCTTAAAATGGAACAATGTGGTAACATAGAGCCACTTCACAAGATGTACCAGATGCCTGGCAGTCTAATTCAGCTATTTCATTGACATTTCTCAGTTTAGTAAAAGTGAATACTGAACACAAGAACCTCTCACTTCTCTAAATGAAATATTATTTGTCCTCTTTCTGCTTCTTTGGTTTTGTTTTGATTTCATTATTTATAGAAGTTTCTCTTCACCCCTAGTTTAGCTAGGTACTGTTTCTGTATAGTCTCAGTAGTTGTCCTCACTCCCATCACGCTCAATGCCTCCTTTTTGCTAAATCATTTCACTACCACATTACCAGTATGTGATGTTTGGGTTTTTTTTCTGTTGCTCAGCCTCTTCTGCTGACCCAATGTAATGCACTCAGCGTTATCTCCAGTATCTGTAACTCCTTGTCTGACTGCTCTGCCAGGCTTTCAGCTCTAGGCTTCTTCCCAGCTTTAAGTCCCAGTACAGCTCCTGCTTCACATTAATGCACAGCTTCTTTACTGAGCTACGTGTTCCTTTAGCATCTGTTTGCCACACTTCACATCTATGTTTGGTTTGGGGCACAGAATTGCACTGACTTTCTCACACTGTAGATAGGCATGGTCAAGGGTAATCGTTTTCATTTTATCTGTAGTTTTAATCTGCTCCCCAATGCAAAAAATATTCTTTCAGTTGTTTTTCTGCTTCCTAGCCTCTCCCATTCCCTTCATTCTATCTTAACTCTTCTTCTGTCTCTACTTTTGTCTGTTTTCCTAACATCAGGAGCAGATTCTTGCTTCTAATTACTTGATTACTCGTCCATTGCCAGACCATCTCCCCTATTTCTTTCACTTCAGAATAATTTCTGTCCAATATACCAGCTGTAATCAACACTTTTTCCCCTCCTTTTCATGACTGCATCAATTTCAATTACTGAGTAGAAGGGTCAGATATTTGAAACCAATATGAAATATTTTTTTAAAATAAAATATTTTTCTTACAGCATCAGTATGATGTGGATTGTGTTCTCTTTCAGACAATGTTAAATCATCTGCTGCTGTGCATAGAAGCAATTGTATGCTCCGTATTACCTGAATGAACACACATTTATCATGCACTGTTCAGCTGTTTTACTGCAAAGATTTACTTTGTAGTAAATGCAGACAAGTGAGACTTGATTGCAGTCCTAGGTCTCAAGAAAAACACATCTACCCTGATGTTTTATAGCTCGATTTTTTCTGCAAATATTTTCCAAGGTGTGAATCTATTTCCTTAAAGAGATGAATAAACAGTGCAAACATTGCAGCTTTGACATTCTGAAAAACTTGCATAGCCAGTAAAACTGCTACATGTTTCCCTAAATGTTAAGGCAAAAATTATAATTCTGATTCTAATTTACATTAAGCTTGAAATATTTCAGAAGAGACAGCGAGTCAAGTAGTTCTATGAAGACCTACAAAACCCCTCAATTTGATCCTGAGCTTTTGGGTTATAATTACCATTAAGCATGCCATGGCATAAAAGCAGCAGATAGCTGATGTGTTGTTTCTTATTTGCACGCATATACCTTTTGCAGTGCTTTTGCGACTCACATCCTTGTGCTAGCATAAGTTCCCAATGAACTATTCCTCTCATTTTTGTAAACAAGTGGTTGTCTAGATTCTATTTTAGAATAGAGACTTTTTTTAAAGGTCCTCTTTAAATGTGGCACGTTGATTTCAGATTGTGATTTCCAGGTAAAAGTACCTTAATTGACATATCTGCAAACTTATTCCAGTTGCTTGGAGTCAAGTGCAAGCTCCAGTTGTAAAGGTACAACCAAGAGAGCAAGTACCAGTTACTGAAATTGCTTCACACTACTTTGCAGGCTTGGAGCACTAATTAACAGTTTTGTTAATAATACATGAGACAAAGGAGCCATGTAAATGGATGAGTCAAAATACACTGAGATTTATGGTAGGAATGTACTGTTTTTATACAAACACTTCTATGACTACATTTCCATTTCAGACTCATTATTGTGATTAAGAATGGCAAGTTTTCAATTTCAAATTACTCCAGAGAGTGAATGAGTAGGGCTAGAGGGAATCTTACAAAGGGAGAGAGAGAGCACAAGAGAAAGGCAAAGCAGGAATACAGGTATTCCTTAGCAGGTGTTTCTTACATGTGATGGGAGTCTATACCAACAGGGGCCTTAACTCTCCTGAATCTCTCCACTGCTGTTAATTCCACACCTTGTGTATGGGCAACGTGCAAGAAAATATTCCTTTTTGAGGAAGAAGAGAGAAAAATCTACTGTGTTTTACTCAGAGCCGCATTAAAAGGAGAGCGGCTTTCCTTGTCCATTACTGGTCACTAAGAATGTTTTGCTTAGTGTACATGAAATCATTTGTTTTCTGTCAAGACTCCAGAGAATATGAAATAATATTAGGACTTGCGCTACAGTCTTGATATTATTGTACGTGAGATGGGATTCTGACTATTAGCTGAATTCTACTCGGTTCCTATTTCTAGAAGAAAGCATTGCATCATGGACTAAAGACAGCCAGGAAAAATAGGGTCACAGCTTTGTAATAGGCATAGCTTAGTTGCTGGTATTTCACTGGACTGTCCTGTTTTCGAAGAAGCTTTTGTGCCTTATAGAAACTGTATGGGATCTGAGCTACTCTAACTTTCAAAAGTACACAGAAATCTTGTGTGTTAACAGACTAATGCCGTGTCTATCCTCATTTCCTGTCAATGTGTTGAGAAATACAGTATAATATTTACCAAAACATTTCTCTGCATCTGGAGAAATAAAATGTCCACCTGAAATGTCAAAGATACTTCAAATATCGCGGCTGCTTACATTACAGCTGGTTAGAGAAGGATCACTGTGCATTAGCTGTGCTTTCCTCCAACGGTATTCTGTTTTGCACCTGCCATTCTCACTAACACTGTTGGCAGAAAACAAGAACTGGACTCATGAATTTCTGTGCAACCTTGGGAAAATGATTTAAGCTGTTTGTTGGACTGGCTTCTTGTCAGAACCACTCCGCACTAGTTTTGTACTGTTTTGTTAATTTGGGGTGACTTTAGAACGTGCTGTGATGAAAAGCTACCAGTGAGCTGAAATTATTGATGCTCTTTCAGGAAAATTCAACCATGTCCTTCAAACTAAAATAAAATGAGGACGAAAGGAATCTTTATGATAATCTTTCCTATACTTCAGTTCCAGTTGTAATTAACAACAAAGCTTACGGTGATTTCAGCCTGCTTTTATGGTCAGCTGATCTCTACAACCTAGCATAGAGAAAAAGAAAAAAAAACACTGCAGGAAAAAACCTTCACAATCTCCAATAACTGCTTTAACAGTCCTCTCAAACAGCAGTGCTTTCCCACAGACATTTGCAGAGAATTGCTTTGTACTAGTTAGTATCTGCTCTGCATTTCAAGGCATTGAGATTTTTCATCCAGATGATATCTCTTCATAGCTCATTAAGCTCTGTAACCCAAATGAAAGATGCCAAAGGACTTATCTAAGAATAAAATGCACGCTTGTTTCTTGCTGTGCTGTGTGGTTGTCTTGAATGATAACAAATTTGGTGGCAAGAAGAAAATATCTCTGTAGAGATAACGGAGCGGGTTTTTTTTCAGTTTGAACTCATGTCACTCTCCTTTTTGTAGCTTATTGTCTGTTGATGAATTTTAAAGAAGCCCTTGAGGCTTTGGCACTGCACAAAAGCACTGCGCTAACTTCTCAAGTCAAAATATCCCTTAACCTTACTGCACACCCAAACCTGGTTTATGTTGCTTGTTTTTCCTCCCAGCTGGTCTGAGAAAGGAACTTACAGAACAAAGACTGAACTGGAAGTCATTAGTATCACTCTGAAAATCAGGTTTTTTCTGGCATTCTGATTTAATATCTTTCTCCACCCATTACATGTAACCAATGTTTTCAAATTAGTGTTGCATGTTACATGCAGCTTAAAATGGTTATCCAGCATTATACTACCTCATGCAGATTGATTTTTAGAAGTAATTCCTTTCTTCTGGTGGAATTAGAGATAATTATGAGGAAAAAAAACCATAGGCTTGATGTAGCTGCTCGTTTCAGTCAAGCACTGCTGAAGTTCTCTTGCAAACATGAGAACATTCTGCCTGTTTTCAGTTTAATGTATTTAATAAGTACATTATTGATACCAAGAGCTGTTACTTGAAAATCTTAATTTAAACAGTTATAGTATCAAATTCATTTTTCATCTGTTTTAAGTCCTGATATAGCAAAGACCATTTCCTTTCAATGTGTAATCCCACAAGTGCCTAAGACCTCCCTTATTTGCCTTCCCACAGCTATTAGTCTTACTGTCACTAACTACACTCCATTTTTGCCAGAAAGAACTGTTTTAAGAGTTATTCAGAAACCATTTAGCAACTATAGTACACATATAGTAGCTTCTGTTTTGGCAGTGGTACCAACAAGTTTTTGCATTTTATCATATGCTAAACCCTTGATAACTGCCTTCAATAGTTCTAGTATAGAACACTGTGATAGAGAGGAATGTGAACTTTTGGAACAAGGAGGATGAGTGAAATTGCTACTTCAAACAGACATCTCTCATCGCACGTGCTCCAGTATGGTTACCAAAGACTTTTTTTTTTTTTTTTTTTTTTTTTTTTTTTTTTTTTTTTTTAAGCACAATCCAGTAACCAAACAGCTCAGAAAAACTATTTCTACTTACTTCCAACTTGAACAGCTCTATTTGACTCTGAGCCCCTCCATCTCCCTGCCTCAAGTCAGGGAGAGCCTGCTTTTACTCTCACAGCTGAGGTTAATAATTACTCCTGATACCCAATATAAAACAGGTGGAGAGCACTAAGAAAACCTAGCTTGTACTCTTTTCCCACTGGTTGCTCTCTAGCATTAGCTGTACTTGAAATAAAGATAGTTGTTGGATTTTATGGTGACAGCACAGGAGCTGAGCTCTTTAGGTAAGCACTAATTATACTCCCCTTTCTCTTTTCTTTAGTTAGTTGGTAGAGAAAGAAGGTGAAAAGAGCTTTAAGTAGTAGAATTTTACTTTTCCTAAATATTTGTTGATAAGCAGATATTTTTGGTATCTTAATCATATGTGTTCAGTTATTCAGGGTTGCTTGATATTCTCATTTGTGTCTGCTCCTGAGAAGACCTGAAGATACTGTGGGGAACTACTGGGGAATTTTAAAGTTAGCCTTAATACTTGTGTTGGTGCATCTTATTTTGCTCTGTTAGAATAGCCTTCTTACTGTTATATATCGTGGTAGCTGAAGTACAAACACAGATGTGCTGCTATATTAGCTCTTAGTGGATCAATTAGTCCCTACTGGTCTATTTATATTAGATATTCTCAGGAATGACTTCATGCTCTATTTATGCTGTATTAGAATCTGGAATGGATCAGAAAATGAAATAGTGTATGGGAAACTTATTTTGTAGCATGGAAACCCAGTAGCTGATCTCTAACAAAGCTGTAGTTGTTGGAGTAGATTCCAGAACAACTTCTGTACTCCGAGTTCAAAACAGACTTGAAAATCAGTATCTGGAAATGTCTTTGTGCTCATATTGCAACTTTCCTTTGAATTAATAGCTTTATAACATCCACATAAGAGTACATGATTTTTCACACTCTTTGTATATAAAGGCCTACTTACTACTGGCGAGGCTTGAATAGTCAGTGTTCGATTCTGTTCTAACAGAGTGCAGAGGTTATTATGGTGGGAAACTGCAGTGAGTCACGTCTAGGTTTTGTGATATTTAAATGGTGTCTGATTTTATGGAAGAGAGGATGGGGGAAAAAAAAAAATACAGAAAACGAAGATAGAAACTCTAAAGAGCTGTCTGGGTTTGGTTTCATCCAGCTGAAACAGTGGTGAATTTATTCTACTTGCATATTACTTTTTAAACAATATTATGACCCCAAAATTGTTACAAGTGCAGAAGTGTTCTTTTGTAAGAAAGGATTTTCTGGAAAAACATTTCTAATAAGTTTGATACTTGAACAATGGTGAAGTTTAATGAATTACTAATGCTACATTAATCCTCTTGAAGCACAACTTTAACTTCATCATTATATGGATGTCAAGCATGTTCACAAAGTATTAGCATCTCTTCCTTCTACTCCACCTTGTAGGAGAGGAGCAAAGAAAATTGCCATTAAGGAGACAAAATAAAATGGAATTCCTGCTCTTGATTTTGAAGCAGCTGCTGGTGTAAGGGAATGAGAAAAAGATGGTGGCTCTGAGACTGGGCTGGCTGCTGTTTCCCAGAAATGCGGAGCAGTGTGCAGTCTAAAGGGGACCTACAAGTACTACCCATGAGCCTATAGCACTAGAAACTAGAGAAGTCCGGGAAGCATTTTAGATGCTTCCCATTTAGAAGTTAAAACAAGACCCTGAACCCATTTTACTTGAAACATCATATATAATGAATTCTTGTTTTGTTGATTTTTGTTGTCCTCGTTTGTTTTAAGGGTTCTCTAAAACTTTTTCTTCACTATTTTCATGTGAGAAGATTTAGCGTGAAGCAAGTTTGTTTTACCCTTTGATAGCCCATGTGAGTGATTTATAAAAACTTCTACAGAGACACCACCATCTTTCATGCTTTGTTAGGGAGCCAAATTGCTCCAGGTGGCTTAGACAGATGCTAGCACCTTGACTACGCCCTAGTTTGTATACCGTTTTAATAGTTACTAATTACCTATTCAGTGTCATTACCATGTTTCTGTTTTGGCACAGAATTACAGAGCAAGTTACAACAGTCACCAAGATTGCTAAGTATTCTGCCAACAGTAGAATACAAGAATTGTTAGGGCGCTTATAAGGTATGCTGAGAAGCTAGTGTACTTAACTCTTTCAATTTATGCTTTTTTGGATTCCTTATGATTTTGATCCATGACTGGGACTGACAACCCAAAACTAATACCACTTACTTGTCTGATACAGTGCTAACCCCCAACCTGTTTCTTATGATTTGGGATCAGTTTGTGGGGGGAAAAAAAAAAAATAAACCTTGGATGCTCTTCAGAAATGTGGGTGGGTTTTTTTTTTTTTAAGTTGTAGTGTTAAATACTTTTATTGCAAGATCTAATTTATTAAGAAGGAAAATCTCCAGGGACTTCTTGTTAGAAATATTCTGTGTAGTAAACATTTATTTTATTTTTTTACTGTAGAAGTAAGCAATCATAACATATGAGAGAATAGGACTTTCCTCCTTCATTGATCCTGAGTGATTCTGCTTCATAGCAGATACCTATTTCATAGCAGGAGTTCTAAAACATACTCACTTTTCATAACTGTTTTCCAGGCATTATTTCCTAGTGAATGCACTGTAGAAGGAGATAGTTTCAGCAAGGCAAATTGTTTGGGGTAGAGCACTGTGCATATGCCTCTAGTTATAGCACTACCTCATTTGACACTGCTTTGTTAGTAGGTACATGCTTCACCGATAAGGAAACCCCACATGTATTCCAGTGTAGGTTGGATAGGACTTCTCTGAGTAACTGTACATCTAGAGAGGAAAGTTTTCCTGGCATAACTAAAATGATCAGTGGTGTGACTTATTCTAGGAGTACTGCTTTGCTGATAAGACTGTTTTATTTTTATACAACACAATAGTGGAAACACCAAGAGCATTTTGGCTGGCTTATTTAAAAAGAAAATTATAGCAAGGAGTCAACCGACCCCCATCTAGTAAGATCTTATCTACAAAAGAATACTTAACTTTTACATTTAAATTACTGTTTAGCTTCCAGAGTTCACTTCCATGTGAAATGTGTAATGAATGCTTACCAGAGCTGTTGTCTGGACTGTCTTTGAGGCAATGATCCTCATGCTTGAGTTTATCACTTTGTGGTCAACTCAAATTTCAAAATGTAGGTTTTTTTGTGTCTGTTATCCATCTTTAATTCCATTAGCTTTTTTGGCCTACAAATAATTCATGGAAAAACGAGTTCTTACTGTGAGTAAATTAAAGGAATTGACCATACTGTCTGTAAAAGAAAGAATATGTTTTAGATCACAGGACTTGAACCCAGTTCTTTAGCTTTACTGCTGTCAGTGTGGAGCAATGGGCCTCAATGAATACTGAGACTTGGGGAAATTTTCCCATAAAGGTTCTGTTGTAAATCATGTTTATTTTTATAAGCTTGTTGATCCTTATTTCCCCCTGATGCCTTGCTTGAATTTTCAACTAATAATAGTTAAAAAGCTAAGCTAAAAGAAATTAGGGGAGACATGTTGCATTACAGCTATTGTCAATCTCTGAAGGTATGTTTACAGAGCAATCTTGATTTGAGATGCTGCCTGCCAGAAACTTTTTTGACATGTTTCATTACATATTTTTTCTGTTAAGTGCAGATGAAAAGTTTTGTTAGCTATTCTCACAAATACATTGTTTTTTCACTTCCCCATCAGTCTTGCACCTGTTTAAAGAAGTTACCCTGTCAGCTATACCAGGGTAGTAATCACCTGCAGGCTGTGCTGCTCTGGAAGGGAGGAAGAATTTTTAGCTGCAGGTTGTCCTGCAAAATACATAGGAGGCAGCAGGTTGTTTTAAACTGGTTTCTCTACCAGGAAGGAGACATGGAGCTGCACCTTTCAGAATTAATTGCCAGTATGGTCTAATCCTGTGTATTAGTCGTCACATTACAGGCATTTATTTGAATTATTTCATCAATTGTGATCCTGTGTATGTCATCAGTGTTTTTGGAAATGTAGCTCCTTTTTGTATAGGAGGAAAAAAAAAAAATCAAAGCTTTGTTATGGTTCTTTCAGGCTGAATTGTGGGGAGAATTAGTCTCCTTATAGGTTATATGTTCATCAGGAAAATTCTGTGGGAAATCAAGTAACAACAATGTTTAGCTTACAGTCATTTCAAATATGAAAGAAATAAAATTTTTCATACATTGCAGTTGAGAAAGTGCATTAGGCAAATAGGAGCCTAGGGTAACCCTAAATTTGGGGTAAACACTGCAAAGAGCATGGGCTTATTTTCTCTACTGGGTTGATTTGGGAGCACTATCTGCTTATTTATGGACTCTCTTTCAGTGCAGAGCTAAATCAGAATGGAAAGCTAAAAAGTTCCAAAATAGAATGTGTGAAATCCCACCTGCAGGCTAAATTCTTTTAGAAAACAATTATTCTAGAGAAACATTTTCTGTTTCAATTTTAAATCTTTCATGTTTTTTTATGGTTATGGCTGATGCAGTGTCAATTCCTTAACTAAGTTTGCAACATTCAGACTTAGAAAACTTCCATTTACTGGAAATAGGAAGGGGAAACACATACTTGGAGCAGATACATTCCTTGTTTTCCAGTTAAGGAAGCTGGCACAAGATGTTACAAATACTTTGGGAAGAACTGTGGTTTTACAGACAATGAAAGCAGTACTTAGAGCAATGTGATATCTAGATAGTATTGCTGAGAATACAATTATGATCAATCTTCTGTTGTATAACTAATTAGTAGGGAAACCTCAAATTATAACTATAGAATGATGCAACAAATAGCTGATTTTTGACACTTGCAAGATCCAAAAGGTGTGCGTGTGTGTGATCTTGCATATTACTTGTTTTAAGATACAGTTCCATGACAGTGTAGCTGTTAGGCACCATACCATCTGAGCAAACAAATTATATGAAGAAACAATTCAGGTTAAAAGTAATAGTTTGCAGTACAAGCTCTAAAAGTCCAACTCATATGAGTGAACACTGAAAGTCTTAGTATTTGTGTTTTTTTTTTTTAAAGTAAGTTTATTGTAACTTCAAGTAAAATAAGGAATTTTTTAGTTTCTACATTTACATTACTAGAGGATCCTCAGTGTGTCTGTGTAATGGTGTTTGAAATAATTTATGATTAATCTATATACTAAGGTATCTGGGAGCTCTTATTAATTAAAATCTGCTGACTATGTTTCACAGTTATATTGGAGATAGGTACGTCAATTTAAAATATTTCCATTGTATTTCTTCATACAAAGTTGTTTGCAGTTTTTCTTCTATGGCATCCACTTTGTAATTTGATAATTGGAAATTCTCCTGAAATTGAAATAAATATTTGAAGATATCATACCTACAGAGTATTTTACTTCTATTGAAGAAAAGTTGATATTTGTGTTCTGCCCGTATTTGTTTGAACAGCATAATAAACTGTAAGATTAGTATTTATAAATATATATATGTAAATGGCAGTTATTTGTTAATTTCAGTTATAATTTTTGTAAACAGTGTTTCTTAACCTGTCCATGAATAAGACTGCATTTCAAATTTACTCATAATTATGACAATAAAAAAAATCATACTAGCATGTTAGTGTCACCAGGAAGTATTTTTGTGTTTAAAAAAAAAAAAAATCTGTATTTCCTTTTTTTCCTAATTTAGAATTTTATTTTCCAGATCAACCAGATCTGTTGATTCGGAAGTCTGGTTATGATCTATTGAAATATTACAGACCTGCCCTATTGGAAAACTCAAAGTTGTTTTTTTCCTTATGAATATACCTAGTTCTTGCTCTAATTTTTCAATGTGGTCTCAGAATAACTGGTTTTAATTTTCTAAACTATTGCCCTCATTTCAGCCTGGTTTAAAGCGTTTAACAGTGGCCATGCCACCATAGAGGCAGGAACTGCTGTTCTTTTGTAGCCAGCATATCTTTGCTTAGTCCATAAAAATAATCTGCCATATGGAATGGGGAAATAATTTCCATAACACACAGGGGACCCCATTTTTCAGTCATGGTTGCTAATTCATAATAAGGGGAGCCAGAAATCCTGGGATCTGTCTAGGGGGGTAATGGTCTCCCCCTGACCCATTATAGATATTCCAAAGAAAAGACACATATTTTAGTATATTTGGCCTGCTGGCTTGTCAAGTGTATAAACAACAAACATACAGTGGTTAGACTGGTATTCACAGGGTGTATAGCTAGAAGGATTATCGCATTGAAAAGGGATAATCAGAAATGAATAGAAAAACTTACCTGTATCCTGAGCTTGCAGGAAGAACTCCAAGAGGAGCAATCTCTAGAAGAGATTTTTCCTCAGTCAGCCATTAAATGGGATCTAGAAGAGGTGGAGCCAGTCTCCGCCCCTTGTGGTCACACAGGTGAATTGCCTTCACCTGGTGCTCCCAATGCTGACCCATTGCTTGCCTCAGGTGATCAATCGGAGGTTCAGGCTGTGATTCAATAGTTCCCATACAGTTACTAAGGCTCCTTTCTATCTAAAATTCTTAGTTGGCATATTCAGACTCAGTTAAAGCAAATCTGTGCTGTGTGCCCTCAGTAATAGTTAAGGTAAAGACCCACATGTTGCTGTAGCAACACTCATATGAAGCATACAACCACAATGTAGGCAGTGATGCAGTTGTGAAAATTCACAGGTGATTGTTTTTTTAGTAGAGAAAGGGTTAATTTGGAACAGGAATGCATTTTTAATTTTAAGGAATGAATAAAGGAAACAGGTAGGTCATAACAGCTGGCCAAGAACACTCAGAAAGACTTGCAGGCTCTTACAGCAATTATTCCAGATCAAGAGAGGATTAACTTTGAAGTTTAAAATAACCTCACTGCCTGAGGAGGGACCAGTTTAAAATGCTCATGAATGGGATAGATACTTGATTTTTCAAGAGTGGGAGGTAATTTATGGATATGAAATCTTTTTTGACTTTATAATCTGGATTTTTAGATCTTAATCTTTTGTAGTTCATTAGCCCTGGTGATTATAGAGTGAAAAATAACATAAATCATCTCAGGAAAAAAAAAAAAAGACTAACAAATATGAATTACCTGCCTTGCTGTATCTAACACGAGAGCCAGAAGTTCTAGGAAACTTGATTAACAAACATGGAAAATTCTAAGTAGAACAACAGCAAATTTAAAATACTAAAATAAAAAATTTAAAAGGTTGAAAATATTCTCTTACAATTTTACTCTAAGTTTTCTTAATAAAATATGTTCATCTGAAAAGGAATGTTTACAGGAGAAGGTATGTTGAAAGCTGCTCTTCTACTCATTATAGAGTAGATCTTGCATGCTTGCCTGCAAGTATATTAGTAATCTTAATACCAATTTCTGAATGTTTTGGTGGTGTATTTTTTTCTGTAAATAAAATAAAACAAGTGCTTTTCTTTTTTGAATCAAAAAAGCTCATTGAGATAATGACAATAATTACCACATCAGCCACTGTAAGTGACCAATGAAACAGAACAATATGTTGTTGTTTTTGTTTTTGTTTTTTTTTTTTTTAGTTGACTTGTTTCAGTTTTGAAAATTGTTTTGAGATTTTTCACACACTCTGAACAGGATGTTTCCTTTATGTTCCCATTGTAGCTTTGTATTTTGATGGGAATATACTGTACTGTTCTTAGTCCTTACCAGTATTTGAATAATATTCTTTTACTTTTCTAACTGCTTTCTGTCTTAGAATTAGATGTATCCTTGATTGGTCTTCATTTTTTTTCTTTCCTTCTTTTTTTCTTTCCTTCTTTTTTTCTTTCTCCTCACAAAAGCAGAAAGTGAAGCTCATAAGCAGAGGGAACTGAATCCTGACAACTTCTCCACTCAGACTGAAAGTTTCCTAATCTTTGTCTTCCAGTGCAAACTCCAAGTATTTGTTTGTTGTTGTTTTTTTGTTTGTTTGTTTTCTTTACATAAACATACTCTTTTTGTAACAAAAAAACCCCTCCTTTATACACCTTTTTTTATGTTTGCTGCTGACTGTGATGCCAAGTGCTAGTGACAGCAGAAAACTGAGAAAAGTTAATGCTTGTACTGTGTGTCATTATTACTTACTGCATGACCTCAGTGAAGAACTGAAGATAACTTTAATATTAGAGGCACATTAGCATATTTCTAGCATGAATACTTCTCAATGTGTACATCACGAAATACAGGAACAGTCTCAAAAAAATTTTTAACATCACTTCACTCATGGATGTATCAATACACTAGGCACTGACAACCTTAGTACTTCAAAAAGTGAATGGAAATAGAAAAGCTATTTAACTTGAGATAACATAGGAGAGTGTGGGAGATGGGAATAGAAGTGGAGTGTGATCATCACAGCTATGCCCATTGGAGAGCTCTGTCATCAAACTAGTTCTCTCAAGTAACAAGAGAGTCAACAAAATGAGACGTTAGTTTTGGAATTTTTTGTCAAGATGGACAGTACGGTAAAGAAGTGTGTCCTTCACAAAAAGACAGACAGACTGTAAATTGTTCATAAAAATCATCTTGAGTGGAGTTAAATAGCCAAGTGGCAAAACATGATCTTGAAGAAACAGAATTCCATTCCAAAGTATAACTTACATTGCTGCTGCTTTTTTTTAATAGGTTGTCATTAGAGTTTAGTGTTTTGTCATGTTAATTTTAGATTTCATAGAATTGTGAAGATTGCAAAAGATCACTATGATTATCTAGTACAATCATTAAGGCACCAGCACTATGCCTACTAAACCACATCCCTAAGTGTCACACCTGTACATCTTTTGACCTCCAAGGGTGGTGACTCTTCCTCTTCCCTGAGCAGCCAATTCCAATGCCTTACCACTCTTTCTAAGAAGATTTTTTTCCTAATATCCAACCAAAACCTTTTCTGACCTAACTTAAGGCCATTACCTCTTGTTCTGTTGCTAGCCATCTGGGAGAAGAGGCTGGCCCCTGCCTTGCTACAACCTCTTTTCAGACAGTTGTAGAGAGTAATAAGATCTCTCTTGAGGATGCTGCTTCTTCAGACTGAGTAATTCCACTTCCTTCAGTCATTCCTTGTAAAACTTGTGTTCCAGTTTTGTTGCTCATCTTTGGATGTGCTCCAGCACCTCAATGTCTTTTTATTGTTGTGAGGAGTCCAAAATGGAATGCACTACTCAAAGTGTGGTCGCACCAGTGTTCTGGTTTGAGCATCTCTCAACAAATATGATTTTGAGTGATGTCAACAGCTTTTTGTTGCTTCTGCCTGATTTTTTTTTTTTTTAGAATGATCTTGAGACATGCTGTGAGATTTTTTTAGAATCTGGTCCCTTTGTTTTTCAGGATATTTATGCTCGGGGCATATGAAGTGTCACAGGGTCAGGACCTAGCTATCTGTGCTTTTGTAGTAGGGAACAGGGAAGGATAAGCTGATGTACATTGTATGTCTTTATTATGCTGAATTGAAATGCAGTTAGGCTGCATATCCAGATGAAG